CCAGGAACTGCTGGACAAATATTTATAATTTCCCCAGAGGGTTGAAAAATACGGCCGAAAACGGAGACTCTGGCTTGCCTGCGGACCTTTAATGATTAAATATTATTTAAACTTATTTAATATGAACATTACGAATTGAAAAAATTCAGTTGTCTACTGGATAGATTTATGAACAATAATCCGCGGTCAAAGAATTTTATCGCGAATTTTCTATTAATTATGCAATAGGTAATTAACAATTTTTTTCTACTTGAATATGAACATCGCAAGTGCGATAATGGTTAAATAACAAATCTGAGATTTTTTCTTTTTTTTTGGAGCAATTTTTGAATGGTGTCGGTCATATTTTTCGGAGGCGGAGAAAAAAGTTTGACCCAAAAAGCACTTTTTAACTAGACTATTAATAAATTAGCGCCTATTTCTATCGTTACTAAATTTTTGGTGTATTTGGCAATTTGTCCCGACATAATTTTGTCATTAATAATTTAAGAACAAAATCCTCGAGCTAATGCTCTCGGAGTCTATTTAGATTATTAATTACAAAATTTTGTTCCGACAAAAAATATTCAAAATTTAGATCCAATGAAAATAGTCGACTATTTATCAAGGTCTCGATTTTATCAAATTATTATACACGAAAGCATTTACTACAATGCCAAATTTTAAAAATAATGTTTGAGTATACAGTATACCGATTGAATTAGATGCACGAAGGGTATGTAGATAATTTCACGAACAAAAAATCGACATATCTTACTCCCAAGAAATCATCTATAAAAATTATAAAATAAAAAGTTATAAAGAAAATAAATTTGGTATAACTTTCACCTCGAAGAAAATTTAATTGTTAATGATTTGAGGAAACATAACCTCATTTATTTGAATTTTTCTCATAACGTATTAATACTTTGTTATTATTTTAGTACTTAATGTAACATTTATTAATTATTATTAGCATTTAAATACAAACTTTTGAACTAAGCATATTATAATAATATAAACTGTCTAGGATAAACACTTTCTAATGCATATTTACTGAACCGATACTAATAAAATTGGTAAAATTAACGTATATATTCGTTAATATTTATATTAACATTTATAGTGTATTTTAATAACACTTATTAATAATTATTAATAGATTTTAAATACTAACTTTGGAACTATTCATATTGTCATAGTATAAACTTTTTACGCACTTTCTAAGGCAGATTGACTGAACTGACACTACTAAAATTGGTAAAACAAACGTATTATATTTGTTAATATGTATATTAACATTTTCACTATTTGTAATAACATTTATCAAGTATTAATATCTTGATTTAAATACTAACTCTTGAACTATTCACATTGTCATATAAACTTTCGTTTGTTTGTATTTACTCTTATAAGGGTTGCTATGGCAGGTTGGCGGTAGGTTGAATACACACAATAAGTGCTCTAGAGTAGGGAAATACTAATTAGAATAAACTGCGTTAGTTAGTGATCCTGGTGTTCCATATTAATTATTATACCGGGCGCCGCAAAAATCTGGATATCAATAAGTATTTAATATTATGATTTCGAGAGATTCCCCGATTTTATGTTACATCATTCCTATCTCATAGGAAGTTTTTCCAATCTGTCTAGCCATGCAATAAAAGACGAATAGCAGTCAAAAATAGTAATTTGTTATAAAAGGAGGAAGATTAATATACCTCAATCAAAAATCGTATATTTTCCTTCGTATAATAAACTAGTTGTTGTCCGCGGCTTCGCACACGTAGAATCGTGTTTTTAATACAAAAAAAAGGCCAAACTTTCCAAAAAAAGTAGGATATGTTTTTAAGGTTTATAGTATGTATGTGATTGTATTATAGATAAAAGTTAAGTGGAATATTCTAATATTTAAGTACATTATTTTAATTAAGAATCTCTTATTTCTGGTATGATTCTCATCTGCTAATATCACTCTCACATAAAACTGTCCCTGTGAAAAGAAGTCCTCCCCTAGGCTGTCGGAGTTTCGGGACATCCACATATTATGCCGTTCTTATCAATTTACTCAAATTTTTCATACCAGGCGTAAGAAAATCCACTTATTTGTTTATAATTATTTTTAATATTTACTTTTATTTATTTTCATTAATATTCATTAATTTTTATATATTTTTATATATTTTCACTCATTTTTAGTTATTTTCATTTATTTTTATTAATTTTCATTAATTTTCATTAATTTTCATTTATTTTCATTTATTTTCATTTATTTTCATTTATTTTCATTTATTTTCATTTATTTTCATTTATTTTCATTTATTTTCATTTATTTTCATTTATTTTCATTTATTTTCATTTATTTTCATTTATTTTCATTTATTTTCATTTATTTTCATTTATTTTCATTTATTTTCATTTATTTTCATTTATTTTCATTTATTTTCATTTATTTTCATTTATTTTCATTTATTTTCATTTATTTTCATTTATTTTCATTTATTTTCATTTATTTTCATTAATTTTCATTAATTTTCATTAATTTTCATTAATTTTCGTTAATTTTCGTTAATTTTCGTTAATTTTTATTAATTTTCATTAATTTTCATTAATTTTCATTAATTTTCATTAATGTTCATTAATTTTCATTAATTTTCATTAATTTTCATTAATTTTCATTAATTTTCATTAATTTTCATTAATTTTCATTAATTTTCATTAATTTTCATTAATTTTCATTAATTTTCATTTATTTTTATTTGTTTTCATTTATTTTCATTTGTTTTCATTTATTTTCATTTATTTTCATTTATTTTCATTTATTTTTATTTATTTTCATTTATTTTCATTTATTTTCATTTATTTTCATTTATTTTCATTTATTTTCATTTATTTTCATTTATTTCCATTTATTTTCATTTATTTTCATTTATTTTCATTTATTTTCATTTATTTTCATTTATTTTCATTTATTTTTATTTATTTTTATTTATTTTCATTTATTTTCATTTATTTTCATTTATTTTTATTTATTCTCATTTATTTTCATTTATTTTCATTTATTTTTATTTATTTTCATTTATTTTCATTTATTTTCATTTATTTTCATTTATTTTCATTTATTTTCATTTATTTTCATTTATTTTCATTTATTTTCATTTATTTTCATTTATTTTCATTTATTTTTATTTATTTTCATTTATTTTCATTTATTTTCATTTATTTTCATTTATTTTCATTTATTTTCATTTATTTTCATTTATTTTCATTTATTTTCATTTATTTTCATTTATTTTCATTTATTTTCATTTATTTTCATTTATTTTCATTTATTTTCATTTATTTTCATTTATTTTCATTTATTTTCATTTATTTTCATTTATTTTCATTTATTTTCATTTATTTTCATTTATTTTTATTTATTTTCATTTATTTTTATTTATTTTTATTTATTTTCATTTATTTTCATTTATTTTCATTTATTTTCATTTATTTTTTATTTATTTTCATTTATTTTCATTTATTTTCATTTATTTTCATTTATTTTCATTTATTTTTATTTATTTTTATTTATTTTTATTTATTGTCATTTATTTTCATTTATTTTTATTTATTTTCATTTATTTTCATTTATTTTTATTTATTTTCATTTATTTTCATTTATTTTCATTTATTTTCATTTATTTTCATTTATTTTCATTTATTTTCATTTATTTTCATTTATTTTCATTTATTTTCATTTATTTTCATTTATTTTCATTTATTTTCATTTATTTTCATTTATTTTCATTTATTTTCATTTATTTTCATTTATTTTCATTTATTTTCATTTATTTTCATTTATTTTCATTTATTTTCATTTATTTTCATTTATTTTCATTTATTTTCATTTATTTTCATTTATTTTCATTTATTTTCATTTATTTTCATTTATTTTCATTTATTTTCATTTATTTTCATTTATTTTCATTTATTTTCATTTATTTTCATTTATTTTTATTTATTTTCATTTATTTTCATTTATTTTCATTTATTTTCATTTATTTTCATTTATTTTCATTTATTTTCATTTATTTTCATTTATTTTCATTTATTTTCATTTCTTTTCATTTATTTTCATTTATTTTCATTTATTTTCATTTATTTTCATTTATTTTTATTTATTTTTATTTATTTTCATTTATTTTCATTTATTTTTATTTATTTTCATTTATTTTCATTTATTTTCATTTATTTTCATTTATTTTCATTTATTTTCATTTATTTTCATTTATTTTCATTTATTTTCATTTATTTTCATTTATTTTCATTTATTTTTATTTATTTTCATTTATTTTCATTTATTTTCATTTATTTTCATTTATTTTCATTTATTTTCATTTATTTTTCATTTATTTTTATTTATTTTTATTTATTTTCATTTATTTTCATTTATTTTCATTTATTTTCATTTATTTTAATTTTTTTTTTCATTTATTTTCATTTATTTTTATTTAATTTCATTTATTTTTATTTATTTTTATTTATTTTCATTTATTTTTATTTATTTTTATTTATTTTCATTTATTTTCATTTATTTTCATTTATTTTCATTTATTTTCATTTATTTTCATTTATTTTCATTTATTTTAATTTTTTTTTTCATTTATTTTCATTTATTTTTATTTAATTTCATTTATTTTTATTTATTTTCATTTATTTTTATTTATTTTCATTTATTTTTATCAGGTAAGCAACAAGGTACAAAGTGCAAATGCCTTTAAGACATCTTAAAATTTTAAAATCTAAAGATAAAGGACCAATCTATTTAAATACAAAACTAAAATTCACTATACCACTATTACACTAACTATCTTTGCTAATTTGTTAATTTTTTTAAAAAAGAGTATTGAATCAAATGTTCAACAATATTTAGTTATCGCTCAACTCTGCTTAACAGTTCAACAATTTTATTTAACACCGCGTATAAAATGCAATTATCTAAATGTATTTGAAAACCTTGAAACCAAATCTCGAAATCGAGACTAACTCTTCAATCGCATTTTGCAACGAAACTTAAAAGCATGGCGATTCCAAAAAATATATTTTTTTTAATTCTAGTGATTACGTTTTTAAATAAAGTGCCTATTGGTTTGTGTGGATCGCTAGAACATCCCTTAGTGAAAATTATTAAAAAAGTGTTGGATGAAAAAGTTATTTCTGGACGTTGCGCTGAAGCTTTGGGAATTTTTTTAAACAATTTGGATGGAGTTGGTGGTGATGATGATATATGGGCTTTACAAAGTAAATATATCTATTTAAACATACAAAATTAATGTTTTTGAATGTATTAAAATACTATTTAGGTTAACTTAAATTTTCTATATAGTTTTTATATTTTATTTGTGATACGTTTTTCCTATTATCATAATAGCAGCATATTAAACTTAATATAAAATATAAAAAACAATATTATAAGTATTTTTTAAATGGTGTCGTTAATTTAGACAATTATTCAAGACTTTAGATTCGTGTTTCGTGTAGGTTTTATTACCAACACCCAGAGTCTCTTTAAGAAAATGACTGTTAATTAGAAAAAAACAGTAAATGGTCGAGTAAGAAATCCAATCTAGGCTTTATATTTAAATTTTTTAATTAGAAAAAATATATATTTGCTCTGGCATGGATAAAGTCCAGACTCTGACTACTAAGCTAGTCTTTGCTATGAATATTATTAATTATACACTTTTGTATAATAAAAATTTAATAATTACTCTGGATGAACTATTAAAACATTTTGACACCAGGGGGTCGATTCTCGACTTGTAGGAACCTTTTTCTATAGGAATTTGTGACACTTTCCTACATGTAGACAAATGTCATAAATTTCCGATGTGTAGAAAAATGTCAAAAATTCCTATAGGAAAAAATTCCTACGAGTCGAGAATCGACCCCCTGTTGATAATAGTTGTTCTTCACAACCCCCGCATTTATCTAAGAATATTACAAATTTCAGACATGAATTTCGTTGATACAATTTTGGTAAATATAAATTTACTATTATTAATACATTTCCTCGCCACTGATCTTTAAAAAATATCTTTAATTCGTGAGATACCATCACATACCATATCTTGTAATTTCTTACGTTTTAATATCCAATGTCTGACTATTGAAAGTAGTGCCAATTTTTTATTTTATATAAGTTCACTATCAAGTAACTTTATTTACATATTTAATTGTATTATAATCATCCTTTAGACATGATGATGGCCACAGTACCGAAATTGGTTGTCTAATATTATTTGTCAATAAATAAGTTATTGTAGTATAAATTTACCGTTTCCTTATCTCATTTGTACTAATAATATTGGTTAATTTATAACAAGTTTGTTAATTTTCCAATGTTTTTCATCAATAATTTTGTTTATGAATTTCAACTTTATTTTCAATATACAGTTATACTAAAAGTACTTTAAAATATTTAGGTTATACATTGATACTTGTTTTATAATAACAAAGAATTAGTTTTGCATTCAAACAAATATAATTGAAGGGTTCGGTGCAAAACTCGGTCAACTCCTTTTTATAATTTACGGGAAATAAATAAAAACTTTCCAACATTGTCATTTGTCAGAATTTTCTGTCAAAAAAAAATATCAATTAGGTATAAGTGTTGGAAAATGATTTAATACCAAACTTATTGCAAACTATTCTATTGATATTTTAGAAAAAAATTTTGTCTTGTAGTTAACCGTTTTTTTTTCACCGAACCTCCAAATCTATACACCTAATGCAACATTATTTGTTGTAAAATAAAAACATATTTTTATTTTTTAAATCAAAGCAACTATAAAAAACAGGAAAACAATAGAAACTACAGAAAAAATAAATACTCTGGTGAAAATGTAAGAAACGAACAACTTTTCAGCAAAGATATCTGATCAACATAAATAAAACTAGAAATAATCTTTAGTCTTAGTTTCGTCACTGTCACCATCAAGGCTACCTTTTGATCCATCTTAAGGTGACCACATTGTTGATGTTAGTCTGTTCAGTGTAAGTAGTGCTTTTCTGCTATTTGTACAGATGAGCATGATTATACCAGTGATATTGTTTCTGATGATTTTTTTGCTACTATGAGCTTGGTTTAAACTAAATTGGTATTGTTATGCAGGTTTTTAGTATCTCAATTTATTTTAACTTAACTTTTACAATAATAATACAACGGATAACGTATAACTTCTATCATAAAACTGAATCTGACGTAAGGTCGTCGACTTATATAGCTCGCCTCAGCCTTCTAGAACCTTCTTGAACAATGCGGAGTATTCTTTGACAAGGAATGACATTTCTAGACGTTTTTGAACTATTCTATCTTCTTTATTTACTCGTACCTTTACTTATGACGAACGCAGCACGCTGCAGGGTGCTGCATAGATAAATTAATAAAGAAGATAGTCGGACCCCGTGTTAATTTTTGGAAACAAACAGTGCTGCGAATTAGTATGGAACGGATTTTTTGGGAACTACACTGGCTGATTGACTTGCCAGTTAGAGGCCGAATAAGAAAGAGAAGAATAAAAAAAGAAGAGCTTTAAGCGAACCGCGGTTCATTCAAATATAATTTATTATTTATTTACATTTTTTTGCCATTCATTACTCTACAAAAAACTAATATTTACATCAAAATAATGCATTTAACATAAATATTAGTTTTTTTTTTCGTAATAAAACCCCAAAAAATATAAACAAAAAATATTTACATTAAAATAAAATATTTAAAACATATATTTTAATTATTTATTATACAGTAATACATACATACATGAGCTCAATAGTAAATAACAATTGTAAGTAAAATGAATAGTAGGTAGTCTCCCCCATTCTTGGAAAAATGGACCATATTTTGTTGAGTGTCCCGTGTTTCCTACAAAAACAAAACAAAAAGTGTACATATGTCTTATTAAACAATTTCTCTTATCAAATATTAATAAAATAGAACTTTTTCTCTTTAGGACTTAAATTTCCGACTACTTTTATTTATTTATTGTTTTTCTACGTTTCAAGGGTCGTTCAAATTGTTCAACACTAATTATTAAGTTTGCAACTAATTTCTTGTTTTTCTTATGCTGCTATATTTGTGCTTCGGCCTCAACCAGAGATAACAGAGATATAAGAAGTCATTCATAAAATATAATATTCATGGTGCCAAGAACAGTTCGCATTCAAAACATTCTAATTCTAGACGCGGGGCGAGGCGACGAAAGGTGAGAAGTAAAAGAAGGGATACAGTGAAGAATTTTACATAGTTTTATCAATGAATTACTGCCCGAGCTTTTACTACTTAACGTAACTTTTCTTGCCGGTGTAAGCCCTGTTGCCACTTCCAATCTAACATCACTAGGTTTTGGAATTTGTTGAAAATTATTACATCTAATTTAATGAAATTACATCTAATTTGGTTAAAAATGCCTATTTTTTGTTCTAATGCTCAATTAAGTCTTTGTAGGAAGTATTTTTTTATAATTATTTAAAAAAAAATCATTTACATTAGCCCTTATGATCGAAAAAAAATTTAAATGTCTCAGTTTCAACCGTCTACAAATTTGTATAAAAAATCTTCTTTTAGAAATATACCTCTCATTTGACGAAAAACGAAGGCCTAAATGAAAAAAAACTATTCTTTATAAAAGTTTCGCCTATGTATTGACAAGGTAAAAGTACTTTCCTCATATTTGTTGCTTTTAAATTAACAAAAATATAGCAATAAACCATTAGTGATGTCATGGTTTTACTAGGAAGCAAACATTAAAGGCAGAGCCTATCGACTCTTTATGCATCTATCTCAGTATTGAAATGTATGCAATCAGTTTGACCCCTCTTATATTATTTTATACAGGGATTATTGATTTATCCACTATGTTTAATAGGGTGTACTAATTACTTCAAGATTTCTTTTTTATTTTTAATGTAAAATGAAAATAAGAAAATATGAACTATTTATTAAAGGTATTTATTAAAGTATCAATTATAAACAGTAAGGCTATTGCTTTGCAAAATACAATAAATCCCCAATATAAATAAATTATAATAATAATAATAATAATTGGAAGGAAGTATATAAAGCATAAATTAATAATATTAAAATTTATAATTACAAGACTTTCAAACTAATCAGAATCAGATTCACCACACGAATCAACATTTTCCAAAACATTAGCGGCTGTGGTCAAACTATTTCTGCAGTTTTTCTGTGCCATACAGGTGCAGGAACCGATACAGTAAATATGTTTTTTCCTGCATTTGCAAATTTTGCTTCCACAGTCTAGAACAGAATATTATTGTTAGAATATTGTATAGTATGTTTTTTGCATTTGCATGATGTAAGTTCTGTTATGTCTGGTGGCAGGTCGGGCAGAGTCTTAAAAGTGGGTATCAGACTTCCATCTTGATCTACTTTCCATCCATACTCTTCAACATTAGAAAGCTGCATCTGGGTTTAAAGAGGTTAGCCAAATATTTAGCTGGTAAAAACATCTTAAACAATGTAGTCTTAGGGCGTCTTCAGTCGGTGGTAATTTAGCGATGGTTTTTGAAGAGGTCAATAATCCCGTCAAAATGTTAATGAAAGTAACATTGGCAGTTTTGAATACATTTTTAGGAAAATTCTTTCAAGATTAGAGAATATGTTTTCAGAGTACTGATCACTGCCAAATCCATCCAAAAAGTAATGGTTTTCAAGGTAGGTTTTCCAACAGGTTTTGTTCCCAATGCCGGACAATTAAATGGTTGTATCACAACCAGTCAGAATGAAAAGCAGGCATATTTTTTAGAAGGTTTTCATCCAAATTTAAATAATGTACTGCTAGAAATCGTCTTGAGTTTCCTCGCCTTGTTCTGAACCATATATCTTTAGTCAAAAACTTCTTAAAATAAATTAATAAGACATCTGTATCGTTGCAATAAATAATGCAGCGTGAATGCACCGAATTTTTGGCTGACAATATGTGCAATGAGATACGATTATTAGCGTCTTCGTGATTTGAATTTAAAAAAATCGTCTTTTGATGGTTCAAAATTCTTTCCATATTTATTGATTTTCGCGAATCCACCACTAGTTAGAAATTGAATATGCTTTTGCTGAATGGAGTTTTGAAGAAGTTGCTCTGGCAGAAAATGTGTTAAACGTCTTTTGTTAAATATCTAATGAATAAGCAAGTTCTATTGTTGCGGAAGTGGAATATTGGGTCGGTCAATTTCTATATCAATTTATTTCTGAAATCCTCTCTTTTGACGTGTTG